TCTGGCCATGTCATTGCCTCTGGGCCCAGTTCTTGCCATACTGCTGTCCATCCAGGTCCCCACCCAAGCTCACAGGAGTTTAGTGAACGTGGTCGGACCCAGGTCCCAACTTCATTGCTGTTTTTTCCCCTCTTCCCCTTATCAGTGGTCAACGTGGTTACCAGCCAAACCACATACCTGCTTGTGTAGTCCCCCCGAGTCTCAGTCTTGGAAGGGGGGGTGGGGTTTGCTCTGAGGGTACCCGACCACTTGCCTTGATGGCGCCCTGGCGAACAGCTTGCTCATTCTTGTAGTAGTCAATCAGACTGCCATTATTGTAAAAAATTTTTCCTGCCGCTCTTCCTTTCACAAAAAATCTTGTTTTTCTAGCCACTCCAGGCTGGTCTACTTGTCCTTTCAAGTGGAAATTTCCCACCTTAGAGGATTCTGGATGGGGTTCAGGATTCCACCTATGGTCTCATGCAGTGCAAAGGCTCTACAGGAATCCTCTTTCACTGGACAACTTCTGTCCCGCTTCAAGGTATTCCAATCAATTATAGGCTGAAGACGGACTTACAAGCTTATTATTGTGATGTTTCTGGCTATCTTTTTCTCTCCCACTCAAGTGTCTATTTTACAATGGTAGGCAAGGGAAACCAAGATTCAAAAGACAGCCAAGCATCTTAACATTATTTCCCCTCTTTTACCCATTCATACCATGCCTCAATCCCTGTATCCCGGAGTCCTGTTGTTCTAAGGTTGTGCATACATCATTATTTACCTTTGTCCCACTTAGCCCATGCAAACCTGCCTAACTGTTCTCCCATCCACCTTGTTCTTCCATTCGCCTCCCACTTGTGTAGTGTCCCCTCTCCCCCCAAGCACCCATATATCCTGTGTATATTCCCTTCCCTGTGCTTTATCTTTCCCTAACTCCTTCCCTTCCTCTCATTCCATACATCCCTTTGATCAGCAAATATATATATAATTTTATTTCCCCTTTTTGTGTGGCATCTTTTTCTTAATCTTTTACAATAATGGTTCTATGCAGTGTTTCTCCTTTTGTGACTGACTTAATTTCACTCAGCATAATGTCCTCAAGGTTCATCCATGTTATGTGGTGGCTTGCAGTTTCCTTGTTATTCTTCAAGGTAG